ATTAAATAGTAACAATGATCTGGAAGAGTTAATACTAAAAACTTTTTAAGTACATTAAATACACAAAAACACACATTTCCCATGCACAAACAAACAAATCTACGTCATAATATAATGGGATCATTGTATGGTACCATAAACAGTATTTCAGTAGCCAATTCATTTACGATGTAAATATCCCAAGTTTAATTGGTAGGGATAAGGTCTTTAGAAGCAATAAGATATTTGAGGTCATGTTCAGCGTATATGCCTATACACTGAGAAGTGCAATTTCGCTGGGTTTAACCAGCACATTGTTTCAATGTTACAGAATTTACATTCATCAATATTGTAGTATCAAACAAATATGATAGAATAATTTACCTCCGGGGCTCCGGGCAAGGACATAAATTCCTATGCACCCACGATTGTATGTGTGCATACTAACAAACCTACATGAACACGTACGTCAGATTGCAGTGCGCTGAGCTTCGGCACAAAAGGAGATGACCGATAGCCTTGATTTTGGGTTCCATTCTGATCCATCGTAAATCATGAACAGAACATTAAGAGGCCAGGGCCCCGTAAGAGTTGCGATTGATCCAGATCAATCGCAAGTCCTCCAATCAATTGCAAGTTTGCAGTCTCCTATCTCTTATGTCCAAGTTTCGATTGATTAATCGCAACTGTTTAAGACGAGGTCCAGATATTCAACAAGTTCCAGGACAATCAATCCCTTATCGTCAGCCAAACTATTATTATCTGCTGATCAGTTTGACTCGGAGCAAACAAAGGTGATGCCTAGTATACCTTGAGGAATGACTGTTGGGCGTCCCTACATGCTTCCTCTGCTTCTTGGTCGTCTGGTAGGTAACCTGCTGCCAATCTGTCAAAGAAATAATGATGGTGATGAAGACGATGATAATTATAATAATTAATTATAGTAATAATAATAGTGATAATAATAATAATAATATCAATAGAAGAAGTAATAGTCGTAGTAGTAGACTAGTAGTAGTAGTAGTAGTAGTAGGGATAGTAGTAGTAGGGGTAGTAGTAGTAATAGCAGCAGTAGTAGTTGTAGTAGTAATAACAACAAATAAATAACATGAAAATAATTATGAAGATAATAATATCAAAAGTGGAAATAATAGTAGTAGTATTAGTAATAATAAAACATAAATAAATTAAAACAATTAAGATGATAATCAAATAAATAGTAGAAGTAATAGTAAAAGTAGTAGTAATAACAAATAATAAATAAAGTAAATTTCTTTTTGATGATGATAATTATAAATTATTATATTAATTATAATGATGGTGACGACGACGATGATGATGATGATGATGATAATAATGATAATAATAATAGTAATAATAATGATAATAATAATAATGATAGTTATAATAATGATAGTTATTATAACAATAAAACAACAACAACAAAAAGGCAATGGAAGAAGAAATCATCACATCTTTTTTTCTAAACAGTCTCAATTTTGTGTGCAATAAATGTCTTCATCACCAAGAGCAGACCAAAACCATTATCTAAAAATTTCAGGAAATTTCAGGAATTCTATATATAAATGAATATGAATATAATATTTGAAATACATGTATTGCTGTAACCAACATGTTTGATTCTTCCATGTGTAAGAATTTGACATTATTATTTTCGATTGATTTCATGAGGCATCACCTGGTGCTACAATTGTTATAATATCAAACAATTATAACAAAAGTTATAACAACACCGTAGACCTTGAAAATTATAAGTAATTCCATAACCGTAATTATGCTATTTTCCAACAGCAAACTTACAAACTTACAACAGCAAACGAACGAACAAACAAAAAACATGAATCGGACAAAAGTCTTAAGTTTCCGCATAACGTTCTTTAGGGTTTACATCAGATTCTACGTCTTCCCTCGTCCATTTCCTTCATAAACTATCTTCCTAGAATGTTGTCTTTTGGTACGAAGCAAGACAAAGTAAACTTGTTATAAATATTTTACGGTCTGAAATCGACCTACCTGAACTCCTGGAGGGTTTCCATCCCTTTGAGTGCATCGAGGAGTCCAATTAAGCCTTTGGCACACAGTCGGACCTTGAACAGTTCAAGAACTTGAATCTTGGGCAGAGCAGCAATGACCCTTGTGAAAGATTGGGTAGTGGATAGTCGGACAGAGAGTGAGTCCTCGGCTGCATGAAAGTAACAGAAGCAGAAATGTCAAATGATAATTTATTTGGACTATTTACACGAAATGAACCGTAAGTATTCAAAATGAAACGTGAGTGCAACCATGGACCTACTACGCCCTCAATGAATTTTTGGGAATAATATAGGTGAAGACTTTTTACTCTCTTACGAGAGGTTCTGTGTTTGATTCATGTTTGGTTCTTACATTCTTGGTAAAGGTGTTTTTACCAACGCACTTCAAAATATTATGTTGGTTTTAAAGACAGAAGGGATTAGACCACACAGCGAGGTCACTGACAGGTGGCTATCTCATTAACTCAGCTCTCAACTAACATAAGAAAAAGAGGATCATGGGGGACCAACAGGCACCGATTGGGGAAGTTTTTTTTATATAGAGGGAGCATGTAGCTACAAGTAGGACAGTAGGGCTTTAATAGAAGCAGAAAAATGAGAGGAACAGGTCGATAAAGTTTTGAGCAAATTCTGAATAAAGATTTGAATTCAAATACAGATTGGTAACACTGTGACGTATCTTTCGAGCTCCTCTCCAATCCGCTCTCTACATAAATTTCATAAGATTTCATTTTCTTCGTTATTGATGGCGGAATAGATTTGTATCTATACAGGGGTTGTATCGCAACATATTTGCAATTATATTTAGGGTGCACGTATGATTGAAAGTTTTCTTGAGGGAAAATGAAACTTTCATGTTTTTAAAGCACAAGGCAAATGGGACGGGAGCTCGCAAGATACGTTACAGCAGTGGCGTACGCAGGATTTTTTCAAGGGGGGGGGGGGGGGTTTAAAATCGGATCCAAAATTTCGCAACGACTCAGGAAAATTTGAAAATCGCGCCGGCCAAAAAGTCGCTCAGTGGGGGGGGGGGGGGGGGGGGGGGGGGGGGGGGGGGGGGGGGGTAAGAGGACACTGTTTTTGTTTTTTTTGGTCTCGAAATTTGAATATTTGACATTTTGCTCCGTTGGGGGGGGGGGGGGGGTAAGGTCACCTTTCTTAGGTCAGCCATGGGGGTAATTTTTTTATATTTTTTTATTTTTTTTTAAAATAATTAAAAAAAAAAAATCCAAAGGGGGGGGGGGAGGGGGGGGGGGGGTTTTAGGGATTTTTTTAGGGGGGTTTACATACATAAAAATACCAAAGGGGGGGGGGTTTAACCCCCCAAACACCCCCCTGCGTACGCGCCTGCGTTACAGAGTTGCCAATTTGTGTTTGATTGATCTCAACTTTAAAATGTCATAACTTTCTTATTTTAATCGGAATTTGCTCAAACGTTCACTAACATATTTCTCTTATTTTCTACTTCTAACTGAATATCAGGATGGAATTTCCCTTTACAGTGAACCGAAGTATATTATCTATGATAAAGGTTTAATTTTAAATATTATCATCATCATTCACTATGAATATGACGAACAAAGAAAGCGGACAAAATATACAGTTCCTCAGGTACACAAAGGAACATCCCTTCACTGCTATTATGTAAAAAGGTGAATATGCATGTGACACCTGTTGTACCCATTTGTACATAATAGCAGTGAGGAACTGTATATTTTGTCCGCTTTCTTTGTCAGTCATATTCATAGTGATTATCATTAGATTTGTTGTTGATGTTGGTATCTCTCATTGCAGGCAATAATTGTAAGATAAAGAAAATTATTGATGAGGGTCGTTTTATTTTAAAAGGGAAGAGGCTGATGAAATCATCTAAAGGATGAATGTTTCAGAGGAGATGAGTTCTGAAATATTGGTTTGTCCTATCAACATTGAAATGTAAGCTTCCATTAAGAATAAAGATTGCATCACAAAATGGAACAGCAATTTCCAAGTACTTACGTAATTCATCATCCTCTCTGCATGTTAAGGATAGCGAGATGATCTTTGGCAGCTTACTCAGGGATGACGTCACACTCTTCAAGAGGGCATCTGCGTTATGATGTTTGTAGAGTCCAAGGTGGGTAAGAGAAGGAACGAACTTGATCTTTGCAACCAGTCTGCTGATACCGCCCTCGCTGACTTTACTCACGTCTAGACGGAGTCGTTGTAGGTTGGTACATCCCTGAAGAGCGTCCCCTATTTCAGCTGCGGCCGAGTCATCCAGAGGGTTGTCATTCAGGTCAATCACCTCTATGTTCGGGAAGCCAGTCAGCTGTCCGCCAAACTCTGCCAGTGTCTGAGGCTCCATCTGCTCAGAGTTCAGGTAGATCCGACGCAAGCTGGGCAACCTTGGAATCAAGGAGACAAAACTCTTCTTGATCTCGTTCCCGCTAACATCGAGATGTTGGAGGTTGGGCTTGTCGTAAAGTGCTCTTCCGAGGTAGCCCATCAGGCACGATGAGAGATTGTTCCGGCTGAGATCGAGTTTGACGAGTTTCCTCCATTCTGGTGACATGAGTGATTCAAAGAAATCCCGCCACTTTTGGCTTTGCTTTGATATTCCTGTAATTACCAACGTTTCAACGGGACAACAGCTAAGGCCACTAAGGACTCCATCAAGGTAGATCTCGTTCACCTGCCACTTCTTCATTTCTTCTTTGACAGGTAGATACGCCACAAATTGATTGTCGGATAGATGGTCGATATCCTCGAAATCACCGGGACTTTTCTTTGTCAGTTTGCTTCGGATTGACGACCACGTGTTCGTCTCCATCAAGGCAAGATTGTTGACATTTTGGAAGAAGTCTTTCTTTACTTTGGGCAAGAAGTCTCTAATCTGTCTGAACTGGTCGTCGAACATATCGTTGACATGAATGATTTCCAGAGTATGGACTCGGAGTTGTCCATCAGTGTCCGTGCTGCCGCCATCCACATGGTCCTGAGCACTCCCTTCTTCAACTACTTCCTTCGACTTTTGATCAACGTCAGATTTCTTACTTCCGCCATCAACTTCTACAAAGTTACTTGATTCACCATTGATATTGAGTGAGGAATTGCATCCACTTCTTCTACTGTGTTTTGAGGGTGTAGTGACTACTCTGTTTGGGTCAGAGTTCTGTAGCAGATATCCAAGGGTCCTTGCTGTTCTTTGAGGAGGAGAAAATAGCCGAATCACATTGAATATCGGTTGCAAATGTTTGTTGAATTTGCCGTGGCTTTGGCTTTCGTAGTTCAGGTTTAGACATAGTTCAATCTTTTCTTGAACTCTTCTGCATTCATTGATCGGCAGTTGTCCGCTCCAGAATCTCTGTATAGCTTCTCTATCTTCTTCGACCAGATGATTCACAACGTGAACGATGACTTCTTCTGCTACCACCAGTGACTGACCGCATGCAAACATGAGAACATTTGTCAGATCTAGAATTCTCTGAACAGAGTCGACCAAGTGAAGATAGTGTCTGAACAGATCACCTTCTCCCAGTTCTACAAGGCGTGAAAGGTACCTACCGGCAAACATCTCTTGCACTGTCTTCAACACAAATGAAATGTTACGAACGGAGGATTGCTCCTCCCAAGGATCAGTTGATACATCATCATCCTTAGTCAGGAGGCCAGCAAGACATCCCTGCTCGATCACTTCACTTGAAGACTTGGTACACTTGTCAACATCTTCTTCGCTGAACAACAACTCACCATCTTTCTCTCTAAAGAATCCTAAGAGGGCTACCTTGCCGAGTTGATCAAAGAGGAACTCCTGGGTCATGAGTGAGTCTGGTTTCTCCTTTGTACTCTCTGGGGAAGACGCTGGACTTACAGCAACCTTTGGTTTAGCAAGTTGATGTTCGAAGAAGCACCGTACCAGCGTTTGAAATAACGCCGTGTATGTGGACAGCTTTCCAAACTCAATCCCATCGGTCCATCTAGCTACTTGACAAAAGGCACATAGTAGTAAGGGTACGGAAGACACTTCAGCCAAGAGGTTGTTCCCGTCCAAGTATGCATAGAGATTGGTGCCAATGTGTTGCCTCTTCCCCGTGAAGGTTTTACTGACGTACTCATGAACATGTTCCTGTGTGAAGCCAGTGACTTCTAGATGCTTGAAATCTCCATACTCTAGGAAATCCTCTAATCTACCAGGACGAGTTGTGATTATGACATGTATATCAATGAACTCGTCGTTCCGGAGCATGGAGACAATGTTTCCAGCACCTTCACCCGTGAGGCCTTTCCCAGGGAACTCGTCATATCCATCCAGGAGGACACACACATCCTTTGCATTCTCGCGGCATATCTGCTCCACCGTTTCAGAGCTGATACTGGCATCCCGAGGCACACAATGCTGAAGAATAGCCTCACCCAAGTTACTGTGGAACGTCAGCTTTCGCATTGGCAAGAAGAACACAAGCTTGAATTTGGCTAGGAGTGCACCTGCGACTTCCTTGCACCAGTCTGATAGTAACTTGACAAGGAGAGTGGTCTTTCCGCTTCCAGCTTTGCCCCGTACTATAAAGCGCTTGCTGGGCAAATCGGAGGACTCTTCGGCAATGTTCTCAGTGAGAATGTCATTGTAAGATTCCAGTGGACATCGGACGGGGATATCTGGACCAACTATGTGCAGGATGAGTTGTACACAAATAAAAATGGAGTCCACTTGAATATAGCGCGTTTTGGCCCATGGAATGAGAGGTATTCGTAACAGCTTCGTCTTGGCATACGAAATCAATTTGTCTCTGATGGGAATGATCTCAGGTCCATACAAGCCTCTTGGTGCTGTTAGGAAAGAGAAAAGCAATAACACCTATGTGAATATTCCGTTAAAAAAACATTATACTCTATAAAATAAGATGAATGATCTATAAACAAACAAAAATTAGCGAAGGCCGATATGGAAGATAAAAGCTAAAGTCATACTTCGAGTACACCGGAATTAAATTGCCTGATTAATCAATTTTACGTACTGATCTATTGATACAGCGTCAATAAAACTTTCCCTTTACACACGCTTGCATATATATACATTAGATTTCCAACTTCTCTCTACCATGATAGCATGGTTTCATATGCCGACATAGACAGTTAACAACTAAATTATTCATATCCTTCCCAAGTTTTGTGGTTTCTTAAGTATGTGAAAAACTTATTGTGCCAACATATGTTTCTTGAGAATTTGACAATTTAAAGCTAACAACTTTATGACTAAAAGTATTCAGCAAAAGGCCATTTCTTTCTTTAATTACGAAAACCATACACAAAAATATCAATTTTACAAGGGGTGTAAATAATAAGTACGTATGCCGGAGTTCCTACGCCAAAAAACATTCAGAAATTCAGTATACGAAAAAAAATATCTCAGTGAGGTTTAAAATGTTTTACAGGGATTCAAGTTATACAAAAAATCTTAGATGCATGAATACGTACACTTCTTCAAGACTTCTTTGGCGAGATGGCCAATCTCGCATCTCTGCAATGCTTCGGTGAGTGTATCCCTTTGCTCAATCTCCGGGCAGTTCTTCGCCCAGTCGCACAACATTTTGTAGGTCCCGATGCTGGCAGCTCCAGAAAACCAGTTCTCCCTCTCATACTTGGAAAGCGCTGCTTCCCGGATCTCTAACCAGAGTCCAAGCTTTCGCCAGGTGTTGACGTCGATCTTCTCGGCAAGGTTCATCAACTCGAGCTCGGTGACGCCATTACCGTTGTCCGAAGACATCCCGACGATGTCGTGGAAAGTTCGCGAGTCAAGAATAAGATGGCATCAGGATGGCATCAGTACAATCTGGAGAAGAAAGACAATGATACCAATTTACTTTACGTCTGGTACACGAAACATTGGAGCTGGCAGTGTGTGGTTTAAAGGGGCACAAAAGTACGTGTCACCCCAAACAGAATGACATAAAAATAAATATGGAAGCGGAACATGAGAGAGATGAGGAAAGAAAGAGATGGGAGAAGGAAGAAAACAAAAAACGAAAGGACCCCTCTCACACACTTTCCCTAGCCAGGGGCCTAATGAACATAACGTTATCCAGGGTGAGAAAAAGTACACCTCATAATGCAAATTTACCCCCAATGGTTGAATGAATGCTGCGCCATAGGAAACTGCCATTGTATGGTCATGAATAATACAAATGTATTGAAAATTGAATTTAGTTAACCCGTGCTTATACTCATGGAATCGAACCCTTTTTTATGAGTCACTTTCAGTGTCTTTAATCTTAAATGAGACTTTGTGGTTGAAACAAGGACGGGGTTTAACTACCCTGGTTCAATTTTAGTAGTCCCACATGGATTATAACGTTGGCATGGTGTAACCACCCCCGGACATCTACCGCCTAGGACATATACCATCTAGGAAACATACAGTTAAAGAACGACCCCCCCCCAATCCTAGAGGGGACACGTGCCCCGATCTAAGGAACAGAGAGAAATAGGCAGAGGGAGAAAGACAAAAAAAAAAAAAAAAAAAAGGGGGGGGGGGGTAAAGGGCTGCTTGCCCTAGTGACAAGGTGTCCTGGGTATTTTTTAATTGACCGATAATACAGTCCTGGGATCGTATGCAATTCATATCGTTACATTAATACTTTGGCAAATGGAAAACATCAGAACGAAGTTAAGGTATTGCATTATTGAGTCTGCATGGATTAATATGAAGATGTGTGCTAGTCCATATCAATGTAGTTTAACTTTATTCATGAGAACCAGGCCCGTAGCCATGGGGGGGGGGGGGGGGGGGGGAGGCCACGTGCCCTCAATTTTTTTCCAAGATCGGATGAACTTTTTAGACCCCTACCCAGGACGTCAATCAATTACATGTATGTGCCCCCCCCCCCTCCCCAAACATCAAACTCTGGCTACGGCCCTGATGAGAACACAACCTAATGTTTGATTATACTTCAGCAATGCCCTGCACAGTGGGGTAGCTACTAGTGAAAAGCAAACTAGAAGAAATTAAAAGCTAGAAAAGAGAGAAAGGGTAAGAAAGAAGAGGAAAAGAACGAGGGCAGAAGACGCCTAAACACACCTCCAACATCCTCCCCTAATCAGCCCGGAGTTTCATATATTTTCGTTTCATTTTCGTTTAAGACCGGTGCTTCCCCAATTGTTCAAATGCCCCCTAAACAGGCTGATTCACGCTACGCCATTTTACTCTGTAAACTAATTTCAGTAATCTGAACTACGAGTATAATGTACGTATACGAGTTATCTCAATAAAGACCTTGTATAAAACACTGTTCGGTACTAGTCTTTCAACCCAGGGTCCACAAGTGCATCCGGCTGCGACCGGAAAAGCACGCTTGTTTCAAAATATTATTTTAACACACAGAAGGACACCGGTAGTTGAAAGGTGAAATTCGTTCTATCCCTCTAAACAATATTTAAATTCTGATGAATAGCCTTTAAAAGTATTTTGGAATAGGCTAATTTGCTAAGGGGGATTATTGACAAATATACAAAGATTTATTGAATTTGAATCATATTTATTCGAAATATCATTCATTGTTCTCCCTTTTATCTATTTCAATAATTTATTTCAATAATTTATCGTGCAAATACGTAGTAGATGTGGAATTGGTTTTGAAAGCAAAAGGAGCAATCGAGAGAAATTTTTCTTTTCCTATGAACACTTGGTCAAATGGACAAGACCGACACCAAACCGACAATAGACCTTATACAAATGTGCTCTACCCTGAATGGCCAAGAAATTATCGGTTTAGAGTCAGTTTGGCAGTGTGACCGAGGTATTAATGGATAATGACAGTGGCTTGGAATTATGCAAGCTTGTTCCTCTTGGCCAATGTGTTTAAACTTCTATCTCAAATGGTAATGATACTCTTGCAATCTATGTTGCCACTGGCAACAAAAAGAGGACGATCGACGGATCGTTCTTCCCTATAAACGCAACTTGCCATTCTGTAAGCAGTTCAGTACACACTATATATATTGGGGGGGGGGGGGGGTGTCAGAGATCTTCCGGGATTTTACAACCCCTTTATAATGGAGGTCATCCCTGTAGACCGACAGCTCACGATATCGGCAAAGAAATGATATACATAGAAAAAGAGAATGTTAAAAAAGGTCCATGTGACCGACAGCCCATAAGACCGAACAAATAGAGAAACGAAATAAGGAAAGTTTTAAACAACACCGGTCTCGTGAGCTTTTGGTCCAATATAACTACTGGAAATTGGTTGAGGGCCCACAATAATGAATTGTCGGTCTAGTGAGCTGTTAGTCTCACATACGTGCCACGATCTAGTAATCCTCAAAATTAGGGATAGAAGGCAAACGAGATTTACTTGGTTGGCCTGGTATGTTGTACGGCCTCGTGTGATGTTGGTCGGAATGACCGCATGCGTGTTACCAAAATGTCCGGTTAAGGGGTACTTTTCGTGCGACAAAGTCCGGCCCGAGAATTGTAAAAAAGGGGGTGTATTTGACTTTTCACACGGAGGTTTCTTTAAAAAGGGGGCGTTTTTCTTTTTTTCTCTCATCTCTTTGGACTCCGAATTTAGGGGGGGGGGGGATACACTGAGCATTTTTCCAAATTTAGGGGGGTCTCCAAGGCAGGAAAAGCCCGCGAAAATTCTGCGAAAGGGGGGTTCGGAAATTTTGGCAGTCCTCATATAGGGGGTGCTTTCAAAAAGAGGGAACAAGCATACGCGTACCCTAAATAACACTGAGTGGGGGGGGGGGGGGGGGGTCTAGAGCACCCTAATAGAAGATGTCAGAAGGACCATGAAGAATTTTCGATCTCGTGGCCTGTCTGTATAGCGAACCCTAGCCCGTTACCCGGGAGACAACAATTTGGCACATCCGTTTTTTTGAGACATCAATGATAAACATCCGTTACCTTTCGCAGACAATTCTATTTGCACTAAATACAGTAAATATTTACCAAGGCATGATCAGCGTTTCGAAGATGAATCAGCAATACAAACTTAGATTCTTATCTTATAATGTTTGTGAGCACGATACATACATTACAACACGATAAGCATGCCCTTTATATATTCACTGGGAAATGCTTTGCACTGTTTTCTGGAGTGTATCAAGCGCACCTCATTTTTGAATAGGTTATCATCGACACCTTACAATCATGAATTCAATCAGCATACAATTGTATATAGGGTTACAGTGATTCATGAGAAATAGAGAAAATAGCATCGCTACTTGGCCGCGGTATATGTATATGGGTCTATCTATATCTAGCATACAATCATCTTCAGTTGGAAATTATACACAGTCCATTCGGAAATATATGACAACACGTAAAAATAATTAAAAACCAAGACACTTTGTAGACTCCTGGTAAAGAAGAACACTGATAATGTACAAAGGTAAGTGTGGACCTCTGAATCTGAATTCTTGGACCTATATTGTATTAAGGAACGAACTCTTTGCAGTGGTGTACTGATGAACTATGGGAGGGCATTACAAGACATTGTCTTACTAAGGAGCCCGAAAAGACAGGTGAATACAGGTGAAGTGGGATATTTTTGACCAATATGAACGTTAGCATTCGAGAGAGAGTTTGTAGTGTAGGCTGGCCTGACCATGACCATGGTAGCATGGATCCATGCGTGAGGCATAGTAAACGTACAGAACAAATTACTCATCCATCCATTCTACACATTCTTCCAGCCCTGTGTGCGTTGGAACACCTAAACAATGGCCTTTTGTAGTTCAATGAAAGGGGTCGAATTATACGAGCTGGCGTGCATCACGTAGTGCACATGAATCCACGTATGACCCCTTTATACAGCAGAATGGCGATCTATTTCTCATTGCAGGAAACAACAGCTGATCTGATTACGAACTACTGCACTCTATTAACCAAACCTATATGTTACTGTGTCGTGGACATTATTACTATTCATGTATTGCTATATTGACCGATGCTATCAATTGACCATATAAGGGCAAAAACGTGCATACACGTACAGTGCACGCCCATGGGCCATGTATTAACACGCGACAATATCTCAATGCATTCATTCATTCTTAGCAGATATGCTGTGTATTTGAAGAAAAAGGCCGTAAAACTGAAAATTTCGGATTGTAATGATTGTAAAATAAAGAGATTACATATTGGTATAATGTGTAATTTATAAGTAATAAATAAACTTACCTATTTCAATAATCTCCCGTACAAACTAACCACAAATAAGCGCGGTATATATACCAAACCTCACTCCGGGCTGACATATTAGTAGACGTCATTGTAACTACCTGTTGACACGAGGAATGCCTAGTGATTAGTCATGCGGTGACGAATAGCTACTTAACTCTTTCAATGACGTGTGCTATGTATGTAGGACACGTATTGTGATGCATACCACTCGGAGAATATGAAGATAAGTATTTGAGAAAAGGTGCAGTGTCGTATATTGAATGCATTTTTTTCTTTTCAGAAAATATAGTAATAGAAATAATAATCCTATAGCCTATAGGCGTAATTAATGCTCATTGTTTACGTTTTCGTCATTTCAGATCTGCTGCAGATCATCTTTTCTTCAGCAGTGATGAACTCCAGTCTAGTATCGATATTATTAAAGGTAAAGACCAGTATTGGAAACGCCCCAATTTTAAAAAATGAAATGGAAGCTCTCATTACCAATCATGTGAAAGAAAATGTTTTGACTAATACATGATGATAAAAAATTTGCCGGGAAACCGCCTACTAATTCATATATTTGGTAAATTTGTTTCTCTCATGGTCTGTGAGAGATATAGGGTAGTCCCATATACATCTTTCTGTGTATAGTGCTTGTAACTTTACAAAGAATAGGCCAAATTTCTTATCATTTTGATGATTCCAGAACCTTGCAGATGCTAGATGCTAGATGATCAACCTTTTCTGATCGATTCCACAACGTTTCTTTCACAATGCAATCGCATGATCATAACTGGTCTTTACCTTTAATATTATTATATATACTCTCCTTTCTTTCTAAACAATGAACGTCTAGCAGTGGAAAATCTACATGTAGATTCCATGTCTGAACTGTAAAACTTTGAAGCAAAGGGTAAATTACATCAGATTTTCTTTTAAGTCTACGAAAAGAAGAAAAAATACCGGCAAAGTAAGTATCTACATCTTATGCCATCTTTCAGTTTTATATTGTTCATATCGTTTCCTTTTTGGAGGAGGTGGTGGGGATAGGAGGGTAATATTTCCCTCAGTGTTTGGTTTTCCTGGTGAAGGCACGAATAGACTGATTTTTAGTCGAAGCATATAGAACTAAATAGGGGCATAATTATATGTTTACACAAATTACTTTTTAACTTAGTGCTGTAGACTGCATAATGGTTGCTCTATCTTCAACAAGTTCTACTCGACAGTAACGAAAAGAAAAACTCGATCATTGGTTCTTTTGACCTAATCTTCAATTTGTGGGTCATCTTGGCCTCATGAACATGATCATAGTCGGTTGAAATGATTTCAGTAATGTTTTTTTTACCTTTCATTTTTTTTATTGTAAACAAAAATCTCTTGTCAATCGATCAATGAATTTGAGATCTAGTGAAAAAAAAAAATCATTAATGTTTCATAGTCACCTTTTAAAAGGGGCGATATAAGTTTTGTACTGTTTTCGAGCAGGCCGAGCTCCGAGCAAGGATAGCCTACAACCCAACCTCGAACTATAGAGCAGAGTCTGACCTCAAACTGAGGACAAATTAAAGTCTGACCTCCGCATGGGATCAGTCGGGGGTAATTAGGGACTTTTAGATTTGCACGAAGACAATAGGTCTATGCTACGATCGACGTCCTTTTAAAGCACTGCCGTGAATGGAAGTACCACGTATCAGTGCACGCAAATCTATAAGTCCCTTTTATCGACCAACTAATAAACCAATGAGTAGTCAATCATTCAATTAAACATCCATTCAAAACACTAACTAATCAGTCAATCAGTCAATCAACCATCTATCAACCACTAACCATTCAATTAATCAAGTAAACAAACAACCTTAACATTAAATCATTAAATTATTTAAATCATTAAATCATTAAATCATTCGATCATTAAACTTTCCATCAACCATTAAGTCGCTGGACTGTCGGACTGTCGATCACGAGGTCGGCGGTTCGAGACCCGCCGCGGCACTAATGTCCTTTGGCAAGACATTGATCTACATATGCCACACTCAACCCAGGTGATGTAAATGGGAACATGGCAGGAATTATTATTTGAAATGCTAGAGCGCCGGAATGGCAGCACAGCTAAAGCCGGGGTAATAATTTCCAAGTTTGGAAGCGCTTAGTAATTGTAATAAGCTGAGTATTATTATTATTATTTACTCTTCACCAACCAACCAGTCAAATATACTGCATATCACTTAATCTTAATAGCTCAAGTGCAATTTCATTTATTTTCAACATAATTTGTTCTCCTTAAAATACATAACATAATTCCGTTCTTGTACATCTTTTACAAATAAACTAAACAATACAAATTATTTCTTCTAAATAGTAAAACCATGATGATAGTAAAACATGAAGTCAATTCCAAGTTTACACAAAAATGTACAGGTTTAAACGTTTCATCATTCATTGTACAAAGTATAATGGAGGGGCCTACAATAAAGCAAGGCATGTTAACATTGATAGACCTGGTGAATAATTTACAGACAACAAGAAACATAAATAATAACAAAGGAGGAAAAAAGTGTCAAATAAAGAAAGAGGGAAAAGGAAGCTATGATGGGGAGGGATGGTGGCTGAGGGGGGATGTGGCCCCCTCAGAATATGAAATAAAATTGAATTTTCAAACTCATTTGGGGCGATTTGGTGCATACTTTCTAGTAATATTTGACTGAAAATCATTGATTAGATTCCAATGGAATTTTTTTCTTCCTGAAAGAGGAATATCTTATGTCACTTTTACAAAGACTCAGAGACATATTTGCCATACAAGCTTTATTATTGTCATTATTATGTGAAATGATTTCATGGAGTATTTTGATAACAGCAGTTAGGTTTAGAATAAGTTACTACATGTCATGTACCTGTCTTGCTATTCAATATGCCTCAGTCACACCTTTGCGTATTGCTGCGTATTTATGGCAAGCCGTTTTAACATTTAATCCTATTTCTTGAGAGCAAGAATTTAATTCTTGATATCTAGAATTGTCAAGATATCAAGAATGTTGGAGCAAGTGGGAACGTAGTCCAGCAGTACATCACATTGACATTTACCGCTTCGGCCAATTCGAAGTGCCCATACGTAAAGTGATTTCAATTTGCGAAAATTCACAACTTTTATTATATTCAGTCAGATTTAATTGAAACTTTCATCAGTTTGCTTCTCTGAATTTCTGCTTTCTTTTAGAGTTGATTTATTGTTTGATGTTATTCGCCAAGCCTCTAACATACAACAACATCAAAGAATAACAGATCAAAATTTAGTCAGCTTGAACCGGATAATCCACGAAAGCTCGAGAGCTAATTTTCAATGGGGTCCCCGAGATACACGTACATAATTAGAAAAGAAGGGCTCCCACTTAGCCGAGTTGTATTCTCGAGTTGTGGTGAGTAGCACTCGCAATACTCGCGAAAAGCTCTTCTTTTAACTCGGGATAAAGCGCGACACCTCGGGATGGTTCGCATTACTTGTAACAAGCTTGCACTACACTCTTCGTAACTCGTAGCAACTCGCCACCTTCAAGTATACGCAAGTACTATCCGAGTTTCGAAGAGTGAAGTACGAGCACGACGATCGTGCTGCCACTGCTGCGAGTCATGCCTAGTTGCCTACGATATTAACGCGAGATTAGATCGAGTACGGTGATTTCAGGCGAGTTTCGTATAAGCAAGAGCAGAGTGTAGGGCGAGCATAACGAGCATGACGAGCGCACCATGATACATCAGCTGGCCTACAATTGTGCAGAGGATCAAGGCCTGTTCTTCCTCCAACATATCGAGCAAATATGCTTCTGGCATCCATCTTTATTTTGGAGAGCGCCAAAAATCAGAGGCAACCCTTTCCGGGGGGTAGGGGTTAAGGGAGGGGGCAGGGGGGCACAGTGCTCCCACTTTTCAAGTACTCGAAATGTGCCCCTTTTTACATACGAAAAGTGTCCCTTTATCTTTGACAAGTGCCCCTATTAATTTTTGAAGTGCCCCTACCCCTTTTCACCTCTTATAAGTGACCTTTTCTTTTGACAAGTGCCCCTTTTCCTTCGACAAGTTCCCATGTTCCTTTGCAACAAGTGTCCCTTTTCACTTTTGATAAGTGCCCTTTTCAACTCTGATAATTTACCTTATTCAAATATGAGATGTGCCTCTTTTATTTTGACAAGTGCCCCTTTTCCATTGTAAGAAGTGCCCGTTCCCCTGTTAATAACTACCCCCTTTTTAAGTCGGATACGCGCACCTTATATTTTTATATGTTCCCTTTTTCATTTCTAATAAGGAACCTCTCCCCGTTTCATAAAGCCCCTTTTCACCTCTAATAAAAGCCCCTATCAAAATCAGATGGGGGCCCTTTTTCGTCGACAAATGTCCATTTCCTACTTTCATAAGTGCCTTTTTCATCCCTGGTGAGTGCCTCTTTTAGAAGGTGTAAGAAGTGTCCCATTTTCACTTTTGATAATTACTCTTTGTACCTTAAAACGAGCTACTTTTCTTTTCTGTTAAGTGTCCCCTTTTTCTCTCATCATTAAACGCGCTTCTAATTTCAAGCGACTAAAAGCACCTCCTCCTAAAGCCCGCTCGTGTTTATAGATGATATATTAATGTTACTTATCAAAGGTCTTTTCAGTCGTTCGTTATACAACGAAATTTGCATACTTGCAACCCCATCAGATTAGGTTTTTTTGCTCTTTATAAGATGTAATTTTTCGCACTGCGACCTCACAAATCTTTAAAAAAATTCCTCGCTCCATTTTGAGGACCATCACACTCAACTCATATAGCTCCGTTTAGTCTCATTTGACAACGCCCCCTATCGTCAGAGTCAGCAGCCTAACATGTTAGCCTATGGACTTTTACCCCCCTCCCCCCCCCCAAAAAAAAAAAATCGTTAAAAATTCTTTTTTTGTTTAAACGAAAAGCACATCCACCCCGACGTACGTTATCACTAGCTCTTTCATTGGAACCCTCATGTCTCATTGACTTTTGAAAGTTTACCCACCGTAATTTCATCAAAATAGGTCGCAAGCTCGCCATTGCCTATATAACACATGTACAAAAGTCGAACTTTGGACTCAATTTACCACGCGATTGTAAGGTTATAAGTCAAGCACATGAAGGAAAACAAGCATGAATTATCATAGATCAGTTCTGATTTGTTCATTATGTCCATTTCATCCAACCCCACCGTAATTTTCCATTTAGTAGAGGCAAGCATTTTGCCAAAGTAAACAAAAACATGAATATTCATGAACGGTCAGACAATACAGCCTTTTAGTACGTAACGTATAGTGAG